TCCGATTGTCAAACTGATTAAAACAAAAAAAAGTACCGACGTCATTCTTTTTTTTCTTTTGAAAAAGAAAGTATAAATACTGATTCTTTTTACACTTACTTACAAACAACTCATCATTTCACGTTTGGTACACATTCAAGCAAAAAGAGAAAACAAAATACGTAAGTTTCTTTGTTGTAAAATCTCATTTCCTTTTCACCTAGAACTCATAGAATTATCCTGATCTCTTACATATAGACATAATATTTTCTTTCAGTTGACTGTATCCTCTATTGTAAAATGATTAACATTTTATAATTATATAAAAATGAAATTATCAGATACTGTGTTGATAAGATTCATAAGAATAAATGTGGAATCATCATGTTATTCTTGTCAAAGATCATCTTTTATATTAACCAACACACAGATGAAAATATTCTAATCGATAATTTCTTTTTTCTAGATATAATTTAATAACTCAAATTACATATGAATAATCTTACGGCTAAAAGTACTGTTAGCAGTACATTATTAAATGTACCTTATCAACTTAATATGTGGATTGGTTGCTTTATTTTAATCACAGGAAATCTAAGCACATTTGGCAATATTATTGTGTTTTCTTCTAAGGCATTTCGGAATCGTGCATGCACGGTTTATCTCTTAGCAGAAGCATTTGTTGTTATTATCAATTTTAATTTAGTACTTTTAACACGAGTACTTCAAAAAGGTTTTAAAATATCGATTATGAATCGATTTGTTAGTATTTGTAAAATACGTTATTTTGCTTCAATGTATACAGATATACTTGCATTAACATTATTCATATTAGCTTCACTCGATCGACTTTTAGAAGCACAACGTTCACCAGGTAAAGTACATATATTCTCGTTTCAAATTTATCTTATTATTTATTTTAGCATTAAGAAAATGGAGTAATCGTACTAAACTTGCTTATAAAGTAGTAGCAGGTTGTACAATCGGATGGTTTTTACTTACAGGTTGTCGACTTGTATTATATAGTACATCATATGGAAGTTGTGAAGCTCTACCAGGTCCTTATTCCATTTTTGATAATTATTATGAATCTATAGTATCGGGATTCTGTCCCCCGATTATTATATTAATAATATCTTATTTAATGGTACGAAGTGTTCGAGAAACTATTCAAAGACAAGCAGTGCCGACAGTTAATGGTGAATTAAACAACAAGCCCAAACCAAATTTAGCATTTCTTCGAAATACTGACAAACAACTTACTATGATGTTATTATGGCAAACATTTGTTGCTATACCAGCATTTATTCCTTATGCAGCTTTATTAATTTATTCCAGCATTACTGCCAATTGGTCCAAATCAGCTGAATACGTAGCTTGGGAAAATGTATTTGCTGAAACTATTCGATTGTTATCATATACATTTTTTAGTACGCAATTCTATGTTACACTTATTTCCAGTCAAGGCATTCGCAAACAAGTCCGAGCTGTTTTTACAGGCAAGAATAGTGTCAGTGTAACATCATAAATAATCCATCTAAGATTAAATCCTACTAATGTAGGTCTTGGTACACAGAATAAACACTAATTGTTGTAACTCTGTAGTAAAATATCATATCGTATTGTATGTTGTAATTCGATATTAATTTATGTATTTTATTCTTACAATAAAATTGTTTTTCGGCAACATTTAATCTGTATTACAAAGGTTCATATTTATGAATACTGTATATACTTAGATTAAAAATGAGTATTGATCGTCTCGTGTTTTCTTTACATCTAATAAGTTACCTTGTTTCTAATATAACTTTGAAGGAAACAAAGCTATAATAGTTTGTATTATTCATTCTCTGTAAGTCGATTCTATTGATTATTAATTAAATAATATATATATATCATATTCGTCATTTATATCAGTTAATACAATATGATGCATGATTTTTTTTTACTTGAAAATATCATAAAACGTCATCTAAGATTAACTACGAAAAGTAAATATATATATATATCTGAACATCGATATAAAACAGTCATAACAATTTTAGACTGATATTTAATACGATCAAATAACCAATAACAATAAATAGATAAATGTATGAAAATTTTCATATCACATAAAACTATAAAAAAAGAAGTATTCCATTTAAAATAATACTGATAAACGAGGAAAATTCCCATTCTATTATGATTAACAAATATTCAATCATCCCGAGATAAATATATGTCTAAAATTAATTTATAATTCAACGGTATTTTCAATTATTCCTCTTTCGTCAGCATCGTATTCTAATAAAATTACAGGGCACGTCTCTTTGAATAATGAACTTTGCTACAACTAATTTGTATACATTAAATTACTCTAGGTATCCTGTAAAAAAATGAATTTGAAAAGTTACTACTGAAAAAGACAACTTTCAATCAAAACAAAACGAGCATATTAAAAAGGATATATAATATATATCCGTCTTCTGAAAGATAGACGTCATTCAAAGAAAAGCAAAAGAAATAAAAAAAATACAGTATGTTAAGCTATCCAGTTTAATTATTACACGTGGATAGAAGAGGAAGAGAATGAAGCAAAAAAGCGTATCATCGTATATATATATATATATCATGACTCACGATCATAACATCCTTACTGAATATTAAGAAATTCATATCAAATATAAAACGTGTATAACTATTTTGTTTGTTGGGTGTGAAATTTTTATTTAATCAATTTTGAATTTATTGTCCATTTTTATTAAGCCGTTCAAATTTTTCTATAAATAATTTTTACTTAAAAAGAAAAGCTATATAGGATAGAATAATGGAATATTATTTTAGTAAAAAACAGATACTTATCAAATATGAAGTCATTATAGGATATTCTCATTGTGTATTGTTAATCATGAAAATATAGATGGAAATTAGTGGAATAAAATTTTGAAAAATAAGTTTGCATTAGTATTAGAGGGTGGTACGCATCTTCTATTAAAACGTCGTACTATAACATATATCTTTATTCTTCTATTATTTTCTTTCACCTTGATCGACTCGTGTCATTGAAATATAAAATCAGAGTCAGGAACACGGTTGATGTTCATCGCTTGAACGAGTACTAACATCTTCGCTTTCTGTTTCCTTCAAATATATTAGTTTATCTTTGTCATTTTCATCTTACATCATCTTCTATTTTTTCGTTGCATAATTTCTTTTATTGCTCGCATTTCATCATCTTTTAAATTGCATCAGCTCTTGTATATAATACTGTCTGGTCAATATTTATCTTTATCTTCATTCGTATGCAATATATATAGATTCGTTTCTATGTCATTCTCAGACAGGACGACATGTTTATTAATAGTATAATGTAGTCATAGTTGTCTTTAGAATTTTCTCATCACATCACATGTATATATATATATGTATCGAATATTCTTATGATCGATATATATATGTTGTTCTTCGCTCTTTAGAATTTATTGTCTTTGACCTGTTATTTTCTCTATTTTTCTTCACGTACACAAGAAATTCAATTTTCCAATTCGTTTCGATTGATTCAACATCAAGAGGTGACAAACAGAAAACCAAACTTAGTTAGTAATATGACTGTTCTATAGATCATTTATTTTCGAAATAGTTCTACTCTATAGTTGTTATTGCGTATTCACTTTTTTACACAGAAAAATAGACAAAATATTCCACGTGTAAATTATATATATGATAGTCGTCATTGGTAATAATCAGATTATTTTTGTGTTCTGTGTTTTTATTTCTCTTTCACGATAAAAAACGTTTACTTACACATGTTTTTCTTCTTTTGGCGCATGCTTTTTAAAATAAGATATATATAAGAATCAGCTATTCGTTTAATGAAAGGAATAGGAGAACGAGCTGAAAATTAATAAAAAGACTGACCTAGAATAATGACCATGTTAAAATCTCAAGTTTCATAGTATTAAAAAAATTTCTTTTTTATATTTAGCACGAGCAATTATGTCAATGGAAGCTCAATTAAAAGCTATAAAATATGTTTATTCAACAGTTTATCATGGTGAAGAAGAATGTATGAAGAATGCTACCTTATTGCCTATTAATAATGCAATAGTATATCCAAATAATAAAATCTTATATAAAAAATCGGATAATACAATAGATTTTATCGATATTTCTAATGTAGATAAAAGTATATTTTTTGATAAAGGTTCTAATCAAGATTCTGTTTATGGTAATGTTATTGAAAGATATAATTCAGCTAAAAATCGATTAACATTCAATCCCGATGAATATCAATGTGAAATGGTTGATAGTGGTAATAAATTTCTTTTAAATTTAATAAATGATAAATTACCAACAATAATTGCAATATCTGATATTTATCCAACATATTTTGATCTTGGATTATCTTCAAATGA